GCCCAGAAGGTCAGCTCCGATGTAATCACTGCATCACGCTTCAAAGCCACCGAGCCAGCTCCTAATGGGGGGCAGCAGGTTTCACTTACCTTGCCTGGCCGCCTGCCCAGGGCAGATGGGATGCAGCTGGGGAGGCCCAGCCCCTCCCCTCCCCTTCCTCCCCTTCGGAAATCGTTGTCTCCTTGTTCATCTCCCTTCACCCTTTCTCTGGTTGGACATTGAAACTGGTGGTAGGGGAAGTGATTCTCCCAAAGCAGGAAAAGTGAGCACTCGCTAACAGAGCTTGGAAATCACACCTTTGATCAAAAGGCAGAGATCACCCCCTGGCTTGCCTCTGCCCATCTGTGCTAGGCCCCCCCAAGAACAGATTCTGCAGTGCATGTCCGGAGGGGCACCTGGGGGTGACATCGAAGGGCAGAGTGCTGCCCCTCTGACATGCAGGTTCTATCTCCCCAACTCATTGGGGTGAAGGCTGGGGGGGGGGTGGCTGGAATGGAGAGGAGGAGTGAACAGACATGGGGGTTAACGCTGAAAAAATGTGTCTGTGGAGGGCCTCGTGCGATACAGTGGCCAGTTATGGTACCACTGCTTCCTTCTGGGGGTTCTTGGGCAACTGGCTTCACTTCTTCAAGCCTCAGTCTTTTCATCTGTAAAATGGTGATCCCGGCACCTCCTTCATGGAAGTGGGGATTAAAGGAGCTAATTGTGTGACTCTCCCAGCCCATAGGACGTCTCAATAAATGCGCGTTTTCATTTCTGCTGGGAAGTGGGTTGGGCTGCAGGCTGGTTCCCTAGGGATGGGCAAGGCAGGTGTGAGCCATGCTCTGCGGAAGGCCGGCAGTGAGGGGTCCCAATGAGATGGGAGGACAGGGAGTGTGTGTCAGGAGCTTGCCTTCCTGGGAGTGTGTGACAGAGGGGCGGGGAGATGAACAGGGGAGTGGCAAAGCCATTTCAACTCCTGACAATGCAATGCGACTCACCACTCCCATTCCCAGCTCCAAGTAGAACTGCAATGATTTCCTCCACCCTTTCCCCTTAGGGTCACTATCAGGTTCAGGAAACCTTGGCGTATGTGTTGGGGGTGGGGGTGGGGGTCGGGGCCCTCTATATGTGCAACTCTGTCATGGGAGATGGTTCTGGGGGGCCCTCCCATGAAAACGGCTGCCTCCTTGACGCTGCCTGTCTGATCCCACTTGCTGGTCAGCTCCCAAGCCCACTCCCATGCCCATCCTACAGTGGCGGCTGCAAGTGCTAAGGATTAGGGGCAAGGGGGCTGGGTCAGGGAGAAATTTTTTTTTAAAAATTTTTTGTTAAAAAAATATATTTTTAATTGATTTCAGAGAGAGGATGGGTGAGGGAGATCAATGATGAGAGAGAATCGATTGGCTGCCTCCTGCACGCCCCCTACTGGGGATAGAGCCTGCAACGCAGGCATGTGCCCTGACTGGAATGGAACCATGACCTCCCAGTTCATGGGTTGATGCTCCACTACTGAGCCACACTGGCCGGGCTGGGGAGAAATGTTTGAAGGACACTCATGTTTGAGGCCCGGAGTCATGACTCTTAGGGAATGAAGATCAGGCAGGCAGTGGCTCCATAGGGCCTCTGATATTGCTCCAAGGAAAAGGAACGGATCTATTAGGAGCAGGAATCCCTGCTGCTTGTGATGGTGCAGATGAAGGAAGGCAGGTGGTGGTGGTGGCCATGACCCTGGCAGCTGTGATGATGATGGGGATGGTGGTGCCGATGGTGTGGCAGCCATGGTAGCGATGGGGAGGATGGTGGGAGTGGGAGTGATGGCAGCGTAGCTGCGGTGTTACTGGTATTGATGCTGGTGTCATGATGACGGTGGTCATGGTGGTGCTGGTTTTGGTATAGGTGGCTGTGATGGTGGTTGTGGTCATGGTGGTGGTCCCAGCAAAGGAACATCCTGATCACAGCTGTGCTATCTACAGAATGGTCAAGCCGAGGTGTCACATCCTAAAATAATCCTTCACATCAAATACCTAAACACACTAGAACATCAGCTCCTCGAGAGCAGCTGCTATTGTTCACCTCTGAGTCCCCAGTGCCTAGAACAGTGTACGCCCTATATTGCGTGCTCCATAAATATGCGTTGAGTGAGCAAAAGGGGATGGAGTCTCTCTTTGTGATGAGCACTGTTACCTCATTTGTTAGTCACCATGCCCATTCATGATAGGATCTTTTTTAAAATTCCCGTTTTATAGATGAGGAAACGGAGGCAGAGAGAGATGGCTTAACCTGCCTACAACCACCCAGGAGTAAGCCATGCAGGTGGGGTGAGCTGTGTAGGCTTTTATAGCCAGGTTGGTCTGACTCTCAGTTCAGTGCTCTTTCCTCCATGTACTCTGCAGAGCCACTCTCCCCACCAGCACTCAGCATTTCATCGTGGTCGTGTGTGTGGGCTTACTCATAGAAACACTGCTAATAATAGTAACAATTGCTCCTTGTAATTGTTCGAGTAAGGCTTAAATGATCATGACCATGGAAATTATTAATAACCCAGGCTCAGCCATGGTTCTGTGGGTCATATTAAATTGTGTCGAGATGGATAACCTTGGCAATAATAATAACTGGGATCATAAATTAATAACAGGAGGATTTAAATTAATGCCACACCATGTATACCCTTGGTAGTAAGCAGCGCACTGCTGCTGTTAGTACTAATGTTGCCCCTTCCTGCCTTCCATGAATTCAGCTGAAAGGGAAGGATGGGCCATAAAAGCCAAGGGAAAAGGAAACAGCTCAGAGGTAGGTCCTTGTCCCAGAGGAGGGACTCCTCACGGATTTCTGAAGATGAGCTGGCTTCCTGGCCTCTTCTGCCAGCCAGCCAGGTGGTGGCTCATCCATGTTCATGCACAATGATGTCTACCTGTCCTTCCTGGGTCTGCCCCCGGACTTAGTTGGTTGCCCAGGAAAGAAATTCACGGGGCAAAAATTTCCCCGCATGAATGAATGAATGAATGACCTCCAGCTGATCTAGGAAATCCCCGACCAACTGCCAGCATGTCCTCTTCACAAGGGCACTGATCTCTCCTTCCGGTAACAATGGGAGATTAGCACTATTTTTTTTTCAAAGTCAAAACTGAGGTACACACACACACACACACACACACACCCATACACAAACACACATGTTCAAGATCAGGGGGCTGGGATGGACTTTGTAGACAGGCCCCCCCCGCATGTGCTACTGGGTCTTCATATCTGGGAACCAGGAAAGGGTGGGGACAGGCCATGGCGAGCATCAAGGTGGTGGTGGGAAGACGGCTGGCACATTCCCTGGCACATTCCCTGATTTGGACCTGTCAAGGCTTCCGGGACATGGCGAGTGTGGGATGATAGCACAGCACACGGATGTGTACTTGGATGTGAGTCCATCCAACCGCTTTTCCATTTATTCTCTTCTACAGACCTTTATTGAGCACTTACTAGTACTGTGCACCAGGCATTCCAATAAGAAACCATAGTCATAAGCTAATGGAAACATCTGGCCTAGTAAAGGTATTCTGCTGAGGATACATCTGTGTGTTTGTGTGTAAGTCTGTGTGTGTGTGTGTGTGTGAATGTGTGTGTGCATTTGTGCAAGCGACTATGCACATGGGGCTTGTGTGGTGACTACATGCACACATGCCTGTGTGAATGTGTAGGTGAGCGTGCGTGTTTGTTATGATCACATGTGCAATGAGTGTGCGTGTGTGCTTGAGTGTGGAGGTGCACACACATATGTAGGACGTGCAGGTCTATATGAGTGCATGAGGATGGTGTGGGCATATGTGGTACATAAGTATGTGAGCTTGAGACTGTGTGTCTTCCTGTGTTATGTGTGCACACTTGTGATCCCTTCAAACCCATCATTTGAGAATGATGTAGGGATGGACTCCCCCTTGAATGCCACCCCCCTCATTCAAATAGCCACCTGCTACTCTTCCCTTCCCCTCCTCCTAGGCCTTTGCACTGGGAAGGGGCAGAGGTAGGGTCTGGACCAGAGGAGAAAGGGCAGGGCAGGCAGTGGACATCTTGCTGATAAAGGCTGGGTAGAGAGCAGCACACCAGGAAGAAGCTGAGGCCAGATGCTGGGGATGGAGGGCAGAGGAAGATGGGTAAGAGAGTGAGTCCCGCGGGTGGGCGCAGCCGGAGGGGAATGGGAGCCGCCCTGGTCCAGGGCCCACAGTATCCGGGACAGACGTGCCCTGCGGCGGGCCTGGCACTCTGGGTACCGGGGCGAGGTGAGGGAGAGGCTCTGAGGGCTAGGGCGATGAGAAACGGCAGCGGGGCGCGCGGCCGCAGCTCGCCGCACACCCTCTCCTCCTTCTCTCCCCTCCCGGAGG